TGAAAAATTAAAATTCAATTACAGTTTTTCATAGTTCTAATACTAATATATTAATATTTATATTATATATACTATATATATTAATACAATACTATTATTTATTATATAACTTTATTTTACACCGATGTAATGATGTGTACAACAGCTTGTTGCTGCCATTAATAAATTAAAATTAATAATGTAATTTCCACAAAACTCTTAGTTATATGTTTAACTTCACTTATAATAATAGATGTGTGCAGCCTAAAACAAGAGTGGAGAACTACATTTCGGGGCCCATTTTTCCTTTTCGTCTTCTTGTTTTGAATGGACTGTATTTTATTGGTTAGAAAACATGCTACAAGAAGACTTAAATTACAACTTTACTACTACAATCAAGAAATACAGTTGATTTTATGTTGACTCAATTACATTGTTTGGAGACCCACTTCTCCAAACGTCATAAAAAGGATTCTTAAAATTATGATTAAAATAAAGTAAATCAGGATTGAACATATTTAAAGAAAGAAAATATTTTATTACATAATTCTTTCAAAATTGTGTGGGCACCTCAGTCAAATTTAAAAAATATACTACAGAAGGTTAAAATGTCCAATGGAAGTCTGCAGAGAGACTATATGTTGCAAAATGAGATTAGCTTTTAATGGAATTGTGCTAACTATGGAATCTGACAGTGGAATTGTGCTAACTATGGAATCTGACAAATACAAGTGTAACGACTTCAATTAGTGGCACTGAGACCATCAGATCTCTTTAGAATAGGCTTACAGTTTAATTCACGATGATGACGATTATCTGCTTGCATACAGTAAAATCTTATCTTAATTTAACTGTAAAGAAGCATTCATATTCATTCAAGTTACAAACACAACAAATCTTATTAAAGGACAAGCCTAAAACACAAAATGAGAATTAACTTCTCATCGCAAAAAGAAACTGATGAATAAGTACTGTATCATCAACATCCACTGACAAATTTCAAAATAATGAAATTTCACTCTCAAGTCCACAAAAATAAAATGATGTCGATAATAAAAAATTATAAGGCAATGAAAAGTGAAGTTGATACGTTTTTTACAGTCAAAGAAAAAAATGTTTCTGGAGAAATAGTCATAAATGTGGATAGTCACATTTTCTGTTCAAAGCAACTTCTTTTCAGTTTCACAAAGCAAAAATTGGAAGCACAGTACAGTATTAATTCATTGCAATAAAGCTGAAATAAACAGAAGTATATCAAGAAAGAGCAGAAATTTAGTTTGGGTAGCCTAATTACTAATTTTGTACATGTCAGCCCCCACAGTGTGTTGGTTAAAG